CATACAATCGTGTCCCTTACTTTCATTCTCTGTTAAACAGTGACTATAAGAGGGAGATTGATGACGGCGGTCGAACCATACCATTGGATGAAATTCAATCGAAAGTGTTTCTAAAATGTTTTAAGAATAAGGTACATTTATAATTAATTTGTATTAACATTGTTAAGTCATTAAAAATTTTGTTTTAAAAAGAATTTATGTCTCCTTACAGATTTTTAATATTCGACAGCAGAATGACCCAGAAGCAAATGATCAAATACTTTCACTTTCAAGTGGTCAAGCTTCTCATGTCGAATTATCCTGGTTGTGTGGTGAACGGTGTCAAGTTTCTGATACACAATTGGGATATGAATCGAAGTACTCAAAATAGTGGTGTTTGTGTTTGCGGACCTGATAACCTAACGTATTATGGAGTTTTGGAGGATATTTATGAACTATCCTACTTGAACGACAATTCTGTTGTGCATTTTAAATGTTTGTGGTTTGACACTCGTCCGGGAAAGAAAAGGATTCAACACTACAAACATAGAATAAGTGTTTTTGTTAAAGACACGTGGTATGAAAACGAACCTTTCATACTTGCATCTCAAGCAGAGCAAGTTTTTTACGTAGACGATTTATTTAACGGTCCAAACTGGAAGGTTGTAGAACACTTTAGACATCAACATATTTGGGACATTCCATAAACTGACATTGATGACGTGATGATAGTCCAGGATACGGAGTCTACAAATATTGAGTTAGTAGTTGCACTACCAGAGATTGACTCATTTGTATTGAATCGACATGATGTATCGTCTAATGTTGTCACCTCCGATGTTGATGTAATTATGAAAGATAAGTCTCCCGTAGTTGATGATTTTATTAATGATGAGGATGATGAAACTTTAGAGGAGTACGTTGAGGAGGAAGTCATCGAATCTGAAGACGATGATGACATAAATGATGATGGGGACAATCAACAATGTAGCAGCGACGATGAGTAGAATTTAAGAATAGTAATCTTTGTCATTTTTCTCAGCTTTCGTTTTAATATTATGATCTTCTGTGAATTTTTAAATATTGTTATTAATATGAATTTATTCACAGGCATTGATGGCTGGTCAGGTAGCCACTTACGCTGGCTCTTCAGGAGGAGCACAGCCTTCTCCCGGTCCTTACAGAGTCCCCGCATTCTGTGAGCCTGGTATGTTATTTGACTTTTTTCCCGTTCTATCATATAGTAAATAAATGTAATAATACATGTTAATTTGAAATGCTTACATATGCTTACAGCACCTGAATCTCGATAATGTAAAGGTCGAGGTAGGGCGAAAGGTTATGAAATCACCCAAAAGGTCATTCAAGACAGAAAAATCACAGTAGAATTTGATGAGGCAGAAGTACTTGGAAGGCGCTTGGTAAATATGGTGTCTGGTTTGAAAGTGCAGTTGGTATTCATACCAGGGACATATGCGAGCCCTTCCATGATGCTTGGAAGGACATTAGCAACATGGACAAGAGGACAATTCAGAACCGGATGCTGGTATTTTTTTTATGCAATAATTTGTATAGTTTATACTAAAGTTAACAATGTGTTTTAACGATGTGAAACTGTTTTGCAAGGACTGGTTTAACATAGACTACAATATTTTGAGGTCCGTTGTTGATAGGGAGGCAGTAAAGTGCTACAAGGACTAGAAAAGTTTCCTGCACCGCCACTTCAAATGCTATGGTAGAGAAAGTCTCCCGAGTAACATGAGGAATCAACTTCATTGGGATCGTTGTTGCGATAGGTTCTCCGGCGACAAATTTCAAGTAATTATAGATTTGTTAGAACTTGATGGTTTTTTATACATAATTTCAAGTAACTATTACTTATTATAGTTAATTATAAACAGAAAATATCATAGACAAATAAAACTAATCGTAGCAACCAAAAGTATCCAAGCTTACATGGTCAGGTATCGTACTCTCAGCATCGCAATAAGAATGTTAGTACTTATTTTTTTGACTTCATTATCGTATTTATATGTTTGTGATGATTTGTCTGGGTGGCACATCTTGCAGCTATAATGTGTCGAAATCTTTTAAAATTATTTTTTTACAGGTTTTGATTTTTGGATCATATGAAAAATAAGTCGTTATGCTGTCAAAATTTAGTTAGAATTTAAGAATTTTAACAAATGTAATTAATTTGACAGTTCAGTACGGAGACCAAAGCGCCGATGTCTGCCATAGACAATTGGGCGGACATGCATCGTCGCGGGGACTCTTGGGTTAATCCCCAAGCGGAACAAACTTTTGTAAGTATTTTTACTTTTCATATTAAATTTTTTTACACTGAAATAGTGGTTTTATAAGAGGTAAAAACAATTATAATGTCTTATATTATGTAGAACACCCTGGAGGAGGAGAGACAAACGCAGAGAACACAGTCTACTTCAAGCTCGACTAGACCCACCTTTGACGAGCATGGGGTTTTGGAGCAAGTTCTTGGCATGCGTAGAGGACATAAGATAGGAGTGGGTCCGACGCTCTCCCAAAAGCGTTACTCCGGGGTTTCTCCTTCATCTGCTGGTTCATACTCGGATGCAACATCATCGGCTTAACTTGACCCACGTGTGAGTCGTTATTTAAAGAAATCGTAACAGGAACAAGTTAAGATTTATAACAATCAGGTGAAGGTCTAAATTGCAGCCAAATATCCAATTACCTACGATTGATCGTCCAGAACCAGTAGACCTAGACGTTATTCCGCATCTTTCAGATGATGACAGTCCTGATGATGATTCAGCTGTTGGCGATGCTGCAAACTTAGACGATTAGTTCCGTTATATGTACTATTTTATTTTCACTTTATTTAGACTTTTATATTTTTTTAAACATTATATATGCACTTCATTAGATTTACTGTTTTTAATATTAATTTATATTTCACTTTTAATGTATCTTAATAAATTATATTCAGTATGTAACATAATAATTTTTAATTAAAATTATTAAAAATTAATTAATTGCCATTTTTTAAAAATTATAAAAAAAAAATTTATTTCAGTTTTTTGCGACGACTTTTTTAGATTTGTCGTGGCAAAAAACCTAGGTTATTTGCGATGACAATTTGAAATGTCATCGCAAAAAATTATAATATCACGAGAATTTTACAACGGTGTATTAGCGACGCCTATCGTTGCAAAAACATTATGTCGTCACAAATACTTTTGTGACGACATTGTCGTCGCAAAAAAAGTTTTTGCGACTAATTAGTTGCGACGACAAATCTGTGACGACACGTCGACGCTAAAATAATTATTTGCGACGACATGCGGATTTTTGCGATGATTTTTGGTCGTCGCAAAAATACCTTTTTCTTGTAGTGAATCAGATCATTTCTTCATTTTTTTTAAGACAGTTAAAAAATCAGATGTAACAATTCAATGGTTGGGTTTAATCTATGACAACTTTTATTGTAAATGCATTTGAGGAAAAGGAAAAAAAAAAAAAAAAAAAAAACTGACTGAATGACGCACAATACTCCAAATACAAAAGGACAAGTATAAAATAGTAAATTCTACTCCAAACAATGTCTGAATATATTCATTAAAAAAAAAATCCCCTAATTACACCACTAACCACTTTGTTACTATTAGCATTATCAAAGAAAGCTGGTAAGAAAGTGCATGGAATTATATGGATCCACCTAAAGAAAAAGGGCGTACATTTAGGTAAAACACATACATCCAAGTCAAAACCACATCAAAGGAATTTCAATCTACTATTTGTAGTTCTAAGAACAAGTTAGCCTAATTTCGAATTATGTATATCACAAGAAATAAGTTAGCACAATCCACACGTTATTTTTTATTTTTTATTTTTCACCTGTGTTGTAACTAGGTTAAGCCAACAATGGCCCCCGCCTAATTAACTTGTAATAAGCAATGCAAATTATGTAAAGCATATAGACAGTCTTGCAAATTATGCAAATTGTGTTATGGTCATGACTTGCATACCTATTTCTTTTGCCCATGTATACCATATTCCTAACCCATGACATGAGCTATCTTGCAATGCAAATTATGTAAAGCATATAGACAGTCTTGGGACAAGGTTTCAAACTTTCAATTATAACCGATTTCTTATTTCAATTGCTTTCTTGCCCTTCTTGATTTAGATGATCTCTCTTTCTCTCTCTCTCTCTCATCCCACAACCTTTTCATTTCCATGCATAATTCCTCACTACTCCTATCAATCTACCTGCTCTCATTTCCTTCCTTTTTCCTAATCTTCTCCACCCAAAACAAAACCTCTCTTGCTTTATAATGTCCTTTACTTAATCACATCTTATTCACAACCACACCATTACCAAACATGTATATATTTACATTTCTCTTTTCTTACATTCTCTTGTTCTGGTCATTATTCAACAACCCATATTAACCTAAGGAAACTAAGAAAGTAAAATACATGTACACCAAAAATAAATAAATAAATAAAAGAAAAATAAAATTTAATAAACCCCACTTGCTAGCTTGTCCCTTTCAAGAAAGAAAACCAAAATATTATGCCACCACTATATTTCTTTCATATATCCTTCATGTTTGAAAGCTATATATGCATGCATATATATTCTTCAACAAGCTAAACAACTCATCTTCTTTTCCTGCAAAGAAAAACTAACCCCATTTTTCTAAACTGCATTTTCTTTCTTGTGGAAGGAAAAAAGAAAGGCAAAAAAAAAAAAAAAAAAAAGAGAGAGAGATTGATGAAAGATTATGGGAAGATCATCAATGGATGCTCATGTAGAGTTCCAAAACATCCATGAACCAACTTCTTCTTCTTCCTCTTCTTCTTCTTTATCTTGTAATTCTTCTTCAACTTCTTCTTCTTCTTCTTCTTCTTCTTCTTCGTCTTCTTCTTCTTCTTCTTTCAATGCAAGTATCGTTCCTCTTAGTGATCTACGTATAAAGCCATTAGTGCCTGATCAGTTCTGTAATGATCAATGGATGAGATTTTCTGGAATTATGGGCAATGGTTATAATGGGATTGAGTGGAAGGAGATCGAGAAGCGGTTTGACAGGCTTGCTATAACTGCAAGTGGGTTTGATCAACATGTTGTGAAATGGTCTGACTTTGCTTTTTGTATAGGTGAGAAAAGCTTGATCAAGTTCTTATCTTTTCTTTTTTTCCTAATTATAGAAAGTAGAAAGCAAAGTAATAGTGAACGTTGCAAGCATTATATATCTAACGGTAAATCTAAACATGATTCCATCTTATGGCATAGAGTTCAAATCTCGCACCGATACGTCCCCAGTCAAAAAATAAAGAGGAGAAGAAGAAAACCACAGTAAAGTTTAGGATTTTTCCAAGCTGTTATTACTTCTCTAAATGCCAACTTACAGCGTAAAGTTCAACAATTTGATCATGCCACAAAAATTTACCACATGGTTCATAATAGCATAATGTTAATACAACATAGTTTTTGGTCATGTTATTATTATAAAACTGATTTAGAATTGTGGTACTTTTACTTTTGTAATCTGGCTGTATTTTTTACTAGATTTTTTAATCTTAAGCTTAATTTTAGTTCTCTTTTCTGATTTTTATTTGTTTTTCATTGTTCATAGGAATGCAACAATCACCAGAATTTGCTAATGAGCTATTGAGGGCTTTAAGGGGAATCAGAAAGGATCTGAAAAATTATATAACAAAAGGAGAACTTTATAGTTATTGGCTTCGCTTGACTGACCCTTGTTATGATTCAAGGATAAGGATTTTCTTTGACTTGTAAATATAATCAAATCCCACCTAAACTTTCATTATATATAAATTCTCTCTATTTTTTAACTACTAAAATGCCTTCACAGCTTGTTTAATTAGCCAACAAAATGGCTATGAATTTTTCCTTTTTAAATCTGTTCTTTGCAGGTGTGACAGAAACATGAACGGCAAAATCACTGACATGGATATTAAAGAGGTTTTTTTTTTTCACTAACTAAAAAGCATTTATTTACACACACAATATTGTATTTCATAATTTTTAAGTTTTACTAAGGTTAATCATTTTCAAATTAGATTTATATTCATGTTCTTTAGTTTAATCCGTTGGATTTGTTGAACTTTTGCAGAGTGTTCTATTAAGTGCTTCTACAAATAAGTTATCTCTGACCCATGAGGAAGCAGAAGATTATGCTTCTTTAGTTATGGAATTTCTTGACACTGAAAAGAGAGGTTACATTGAGGTACAAGGAAAAGAAAAACATAATTTATAAAAAGAACGGAAAATTTTATGATGGGGTATAAAAGAATGCCTTATTGGTAGGACACAATTTTTAACCATCAAATCTTTATCAAATTTCGTTAAATTATTATTTTTTACCTGATATGACTACGTAAATTTGGCAGTTTATCGTTGTGTTTTACCGATAAAGAATTTTTTCCTAGTTTACCACAAAAATCTCCAAAAAGGAAAAAAAAAAAAAAAAAAAAAAAAAAAAAAAAAAAAACCACTTTCACATTAAAGTATTTTACTTTGGTTTCTTTAATTGAAGTCCATTTTGATCTTGTAGATATCCGAATTTGAGACCCTCTTCAGAATAAGCTTAGCAAAAGGTCATCTTTCGACTAATAGAACACCAACAATGTCACATAATTCATTTCCAAGTAAAACTTATGAGACATTTGAAGAGGCATGTTCAAAGGCTGAAATTCTGTTCAGATCACATTGGAGAAGAGGGTGGATAATATTGGTTTGGTTGGTGATTTGTGTAATCCTCTTCACTTGGAAATTCATCCAATATCGCCATAGAACAGCTTTTGAAGTTATGGGATATTGTTTGTCCACTGCCAAAGGTGCTGCTGAGACTCTCAAATTCAACATGGCTCTTGTTTTGTTGCCCGTTTGTCGAAACACAATCACTTGGCTACGTAGTAACCCAAGGGTAAACTCGGTAATTCCGTTCAACGACAACATCAACTTCCACAAGGTATTTTGGCATTTTTGTCAGTTTTTTTTTCGCTTTTATCACCCAAATTCGACCAAATTAGTAAGTTGAAAAAGGTGACACATGACCCTTTAAATTTAATGAAATGTTGCAAAGTGTTCCTAAATTAATGAATAATGTTATTAAAAGAAATGCCATCATGTACGTAATATGTACGTGATATGATGTGCTCCGATCATCTGAAACTTTAATCTCTTATTTCAAACAAGCTCACATAATGTGTACGAGAATAATAATGGTTATCATCAATTTGGAGCACTTTACAATACTTGTTAAACTCAGGGATAATCTCTAAAAATAAGAGTTAAATGGATAACTTACCAACCGTGAAAGTTTAATTTGCCAAATATCCTTTGTGCAAATACAAAGTTAAGTAGACCCCTTTTAACTTTATTATAACTTGTTTTCCCCAACACTATGTAAAATTGTGGGGATTTTTTGTTCTTTTATACTTTTTTCTTTTTTGTAAATGTCAATGAAAGCAAAGAGTTATGTTAGGGACAAATGTAAGATATTTTATTATTGATCAATGTGGAATTTACGTGGAGCTTATATTAATCAATACTAAGTGTGACTTTCCTTAATCCTTAGTAGATCACCAAAACTTACAAATACACTTTCAAAATCACCACAAATGTCCACCAAAGCCTTTGTACTAACTCATGTTCCTGATTTTAGCTGATTGCAGGAGGGATTGTGGTAGGAGTGATCCTACATGGTGGCACTCATCTTGCTTGTGATTTCCCAAGAATTAGTAGCTCAGACACTTCGATTTTCCAGCAAACCATAGCCCCCGGATTCGGGTACCACCAACCATCATACCTTGAAATATTGGCCACCACAGAGGTGGCCACAGGGATTGTCATGGTGATACTAATGGCCATTGCATTTTCACTAGCAACAAAGTGGCCACGCCGCCAGTCCCCATCGCTCCCGAGGTCAGTCCGACACATCACGGGGTACAACACCTTTTGGTACTCCCACCACTTGTTCATTCCAGTGTATGCCTTGCTTATCATTCACTCCATGTTCCTCTTCCTTACAAAAAATGTTGCTGAAAAAACTGTAAGCCTTCTTTTTCTTGTTCAATGTGACTACTTATAACAAGAAATAACTTCTTTTTCTCTTCTAATTTTGTTATATCAAAAGATTTTGGTGTTCAAATTTTCTTTGAGCAGACTTGGATGTATATTGCTATTCCAGTGGTTATATATGCTGCAGAAAGAATCCTTAGAGCCATAAGATCAAGCCGTTGTGAGGTTCAAATTTTGAAGGTGTAAAATCCTATTCCTTTTGAAAGTTCAGTATCATTTATTTATTATTACTATTATGTTTTTTTTTTTTAGAATTTGAATTTTCAGAGTCTTGATGTTGCTACAGATGCAAATGACAGTTTTGTTATGTCTTTGGCAAATAAAGTGCAGGCAAGTTTTTATCCAGGAAAAGTAATGTCCCTAAAATTGCACAAACCAGAAGGATTTAAGTACCAGAGTGGCATGTACATATTCATTCAATGCCCTCAAATTTCACCATTTGAATGGTAATATTGTCAAGTATTTTTCTGTCCATTTTTTTTTTCTGTTATCTTAATGTCACCATAGAAGCATTTAAATCAAAGTTTAAATATTGTCTTTGCCCATGATATCTTTTAATATCTCCTCTTCTATCTTCATTTTTAGGCACCCATTTTCCTTAACTTCAGGACCAGAAGATGAATACCTAAGTGTACACATAAGAACTCTTGGAGACTGGAGTTACCAAATATATAACCTTTTCCAGGAGGTAATAAACAAATAAACAAATAAACTAACTCAACAAAATCTGAAAAAAAAAAACAGGTTAATCTCACTGGTCCCTCCTAAACTTTGGGGGCATTCCCAGTTTATACCACAAAATTAAAAACTCTCCCTTTACCCCTTAAATTTTGAAGTTCTCCCACCTAACCCCCAGAAAAAAGAGGGGATTAAGTAAGCTCATTTGGTCTTTGTTCTTTTGTTTCTAACAGAAGTTCAAACCAAAAGATTATGTGATTGCACAGTCTCCTTCTTTCGTTTGTTTTTAGCATAAATTCCAACAAAAATGAATTAAGTAAGACTAATTCAAAATTTAAGAGGCAGGTCAGTGTTTTTAAAGTTCAGGGTTTAAACTGTGAATGATTCTAAAGTTTAGAGGACACTAGTGAGGACAATCCAAAAAAAATTGTAAAATCTCTTCAAAATTATATAACTGTTCAAGTTTTGCAGGCAGTATTATCAGGTGCAAAAGAGTATCCTAAAATATACATTGATGGGCCTTATGGTGCTGCCTCTCAAGACCATGTCAAGTATGACATGGTTGTGCTGATTGGCCTAGGAATTGGAGCCACACCTTTCATTAGCATCCTCAAAGATGTTGTAAATGGCACCAAAAAAGAACAAAGCAACAACCATGTAAAAATTTCTTCTTGCCCTTTATTTCTTCTAATGTTGTTGTTTCTAATGGCATTTTTTGTTCTGGTTTTCTTCAATCCTTTAACAGAATTTACCATTTTCTAGAACAGAATGGTTGCAGCTTAAGAAAAAAAGGTCCCATCAAAGCCTATCTTTATTGGGTTACAAGAGAACAAAACTCCTTTGACTGGTTTAGAGACATCATGAAGGAAGTATCAAAATCAAACCAAAAGCAGGTGAATGCAAGAAGTTAACCGAAGTATTCATCATTAAATATATGACTCGTTTGGTTCAGAAATTTTGAATGAAAATTTAAAGTTTTTGTGAGAGAAAACATTATAGTAAGAATGTTTGAAATATGGTTCAAATTCACGATAAAGAGACGTGCTAGTAGTCATTGAATTCTATAGTGTTTTGACCATTTCTAATCATTGTATGGTGGCGATTTCTGAAGTCTGTTGTAGAGGTTCATAATTTCCTAACCAGCATATATCAGGAAGGAGATGCACGGTCAACTTTCATAAGTGCTATTCAGGCTTTGTATCATGCGAAACATGGCATTGATATTATCTCCCGGACACCGGTAAGAATTCTATTTTTGGTCTTTGTCTAGAATAATAATAATAATGTTTAAAAAATAATATAACATTATGGAATATGGATCCCTTATTTTGTAAAATTTTCTCTAAACCTTGGCAAAATCAGACTACGATCATGAATTTTTAAATACGCTAAAGACTTTACCAACTCAACTAGTTGACACCTTCACTTCCGGTGAAAGCATTATTGACATGTTGGCAGCTTGTTTAACAAGAACAACACCACAGAAAGGTTTAGTTGAAAATTTTGTTTGACCAAACTTTTAACAATGAAATCAAGTTAGACACTATTGAATCATTAGGTATAATACTTATGACTAGGAAACGAATGGGAATGCAAGAATGTATTAAGGGCAACTAACTCCATTGTGGAATTTTCAGGTACGCACACATTTCGCCAGACCAAATTGGTTTAGCATCTTTTCAAAATTGGCTTGGAGACACAGAGGAGCAAAGATTGGTACTCATAGAATCCTCATGCTATTGATCAGAATTCAGAACATAAATTCATCTTTGACATGGCTTACGAGAATAAACCTAAATCATATAGAACTAGTTTGCATTCCTGGTTTTGCCCTTGACAACTACCGCTTGTGAATAGCCACTATAACTAATAAAAAGTGGACCTCGTATGTGAGCCTATTCTGTAAGATCTATCTTTTATTAGCGTGTGATGCTAGGTATCATCAGAGCCTCCTAACATTATTCACTGATTATTAACATTTGGGGATTTTGCTTGTAACAGGTGTATTCTATTGCGGTCCATCCGGCTTAGCAAAAGATCTGGAAACAATGTGCACCAAATTCTCCACCAAAACCACTACCAGATTCGTATTTCACAAGGAGAATTATTAGATTGATTGTTCTCTCAAATTGTCGTTGTCTTGTATCAATTTCACAATGGGAATTGGTTAACACCAATAATGGTCCAAGTGTACATAATACTTTGCATCTTTTTCCCTCATTCAGAACAAAAAGATGAAAACATTGTTGCCTCTCAAATTAGTCAGTTTTGCATTAATTTTGAGTGAATAAAATGCTCAAGATCCATGATAGTACACCTTCCTTTTTTCCATTAATACAATCTGGTTATGAGTCATGATTTGATATTTGCATAGCCCAGAAAAAGATTAAGTACATACACAGTTATATGTGTATGTATTTATGTATTAGAATAAAAGTAATTGCATCCCACGAGGTAAAGTAGAGGAAAGCTACTTAGACATTTGTGTCAAGTTCCCTTTCACAGGAAAGATGATTGTGTAAAATTTTACAAAAAGCCTTTGATCATTAAATATGAACTGTGTACAAAGTACAAAGGAAAACAAAATCCAAAAATCAATTGAAACGAAGATGTTTGGGGTCCCAGAAACGAAGCTTGATTCTGGTGTGATTATTGAAACTGAAGGAACGACTCAAAAGGTAGCGTAAGTTCAAACAAAGCCTCTTGCTGAAACCTTATTTCGTCACCGTAGGTGCCATGGGTCTCATGCTTAGCCTTCAAGCGCTGATGCTCCAGAAATGATCTCAATCAATTCGGTGGTGATAGATGCTTGACGAGTTCTATACAAATTAATCAGACCAAAAAATGAGATCAGTCGAGAGAGCACACTTATGCATAGTTAAAAAAATTCAGTCATAGTCGGTATTTAAAAAATCACGGCCCTTTTAGCTTTTAACCGATAGCATCAGCTAGACGGTTTCCCCAATATTAGTCCCTTCCCCTACATTTAACTACTGAGTCAACGGCATGGTAGGAGGGTTCAAATATAACATCTACCCATGGAAACAAGTCAAACAAACCCAATCATTTGCCAGTTTCTAATTGAGTACATTTCCTGGGATAATAGGTAAATGAAACCACTAGGGTTAGGTGGCAGGCTAACTTATTCTTAAATTCATTTGACCACCTAAATCAATATTATTTACAAAAGACTTGGGACAACCAAAAAGTTTATCAATGACGCATGCACCTTATGAGACCTGATCCACTTCACTGAAGTCCCAACTCAATTTCTAAAACATATTTCATTTTCATTTCATCTCTTTCTCTAATCGATTCTCACCCCTACACTAGAGCTTTCTGCTAATGACATTCTCATCTCACTAACTACTTTCTGGTTTGTCTCCAAATTACAGCGATTCTTACAAATCAACCTCATTCTGATCTAATACCATAACCTAACACTGTTGGCTATTGCCCAACCACCCTAGAAATCCAAACTAAAAACTGGCTTTTTTCAGTGGGTCAATTTCAATGGACCTTTTTCTCAAACATAATTTGATTGATTAGGTGGGGAGAGAGAGAGAGAGAGACCTGTTATAAGTAAGTGTGAGACGATCAAGCATCTCTCCAGCATTTCTGCTTGAGCTATCCATGGCAGACATCCTTGCCCCCTGTTCACTGCAAGCATTCTCCAACACAGCATTGAACAAGACCTGACCGTAATGTGGAATTCTTTCAGTGATATCACAAATGCATTACATAAAAAAATCTCCAGTCAGAGATTCAACTTGCGAGAACATAATAGATTCGCTAGAACAGGTACTCAATTAGAGCATGCACCATAAAAGGAAGACATCCAAGCCCCAAAAATAATTGAAACAAGAGCAAAAAAGCAAAAATCACATATGGCTGCTAGCTGTTCGAGTTAGAGAAGATTTACAATTTCCACAAACTAAAACATATTTAGCAGCATCAGTTCCTAGAGCACGTCACAATACTACAGCAATATAGAGGGTTATTGTCCTCATAAACGTGTTCAGATTCGTTTATCACAACACTCCACTCTTTGAACATGAATTTCTCACTAAGATAAAAGATTAAAGCCTCGTTTACTTCGCGGATTCAAGTTTTTAATTCGAGCTAAGATGTGACATTTTCTGAGAGCTTTTCACTTTAGCAGAAAAAGTTAATGTGACATTTTCTGATAGTTTTTTACTGTAGAAACCTAAAACTGAAAACTCGAATCGGTGAAATGAACGAGGCCTAAGACAAGGCCACGGTCTTTTTGCTTGAGCAACACCGCTAACAAAAAATATTTGCAAGAAAAACAAGCAAATGCAAGTGTTATCCACAAATCAATCTAAGGCAAGCTCAAATGAAACAATCAGCTAATATCTAAACAGAGATGTTTGATTCTAGTTTTTAAATGCCGAAAGTTGCATTGCATTTACAAAGGACACAAATCCAAACAGGCAAGTGGACAGTCATCTAATAAAGTTATATAAAGATATAATGCTGAACAAGATAAGTTTTCAGATTAACATTTAATAGTCTGACCAACCACGTGATTCTCACTAAAATAATGGACTCTCCGAACAACCAAACAAGTAGGTTGGGTTAAGAAAGGACATACACAAGAAAACTGGAACTCTGCCAGATTTTGGAGTATTTCTGACTTTGTCTCACCACCTTCAATCTCGTAGGCGTCTAGATCACCAATATTTCCGCCAGCTTCAGACTCTTTCTCAACAACCTATACAAACACAGAATTATATATCCAACCAGCCAAAAAGGTTGACAATAGAAAGAGAGAAAAACTAAAATAAAAACAATGTTCTCACCTCTGGAGACAATACAGTCGACATTGTTGGGATAAATGAGACAACGGAATGGAACTTGTTAAAGATAATTCTCAAAGCATCAAATTCCACATTCTTCAAAATGTCATCAGCAAGAACAGACACCTGAAATGACGGAATATGAAGGCAAGCAAATGGAAGTATATATACGTAAGTAAAGAATCACAGCTACAAACTTAACACAGTATATTTCACAAAGCAAAAATCCTTCATTCAAAGAGTGTCATAGAATCAATCATTTATTATATAAGAAACATCTGTTACTCATTCTGACAACAGTACAAAGGAAAGAAGGCAATATATCCTCTAGAATCAAAACAAAACCAGAAAAAACAAACTAAATCCTTGTTTGTTCATCATACTGCAACCTATTACATCTTTAAATGAATACAATCAATCACATAAATCCTTGTTTCCTACACATTTCATAAATCAATAGCAAACAAAATATCAATTGACTAAATATGAGATCAAAAGGTAAAATCTAAAACAGTTGTGGCACTTTTCCAACATAATTATAGACAATTTTGAAACAAAAGCACAGGATCCAAGCATGTAAATATATGCAGAAACATCTTGAATAAAACCTTTTGCCCTATCATATTTGGGAAAGAAACATAGGTTACCAACCTGAGTATAATTCAAAGGATTCTTCTGCAACTCAGTAATTGATAACTCAATGTCCTTCTTTGAGTCACGGATCATTTGAACTTTTGCCTTTTCTCCCAAGATAACATATTTTGTTTCTTTGTCAGGACCTATAATAGTAGAAATATACGTAAAGTAAGAAAAAAAATCTGAGCTTTTCAAACCTTAAGAACTAAACAATTTAGCTTGCGAATCTACCAGAAGCCAACTTGTAAAAACTCCTGCTTATCTTGACTGAAGTAGAATTGATTCCACCACATAGACCTTTGTCAGAAGAAATGGTAACGATGACATTTTTCTTAACATCAACACCTAGCATTGCAAAACAGAATATACAATTAGTCCAACACAAAAATATACAATATATGACCCACATGAAAGTAAAAAAATGGATAACATGACAAATATGGATAAACAAAACAGGAATAAATTGATTCAAGAACATAAACTTAGACAGTGAGTATTTTCAGCACACGCGCACAGTTTCTATCCACTCTCGAATAAAGTTCAAGGAGTAGAAGGATTAATAAAATCATGATGAGAAACTTACTGGGAGCGTCACCAAGAAGTGCAGTAAAAGGCTGCCATAAGCCACGAGAATTTTCAGCTTTAGTTTGAATAGCTCTTAGCTTTGAGGCTGCAACCATCTTCATTGCCTTTGTAATTTTTTGGATATTCTTCACACTCTTCATCCGGTTCCTAACTGTAAAAACCAAACATCAAAAGAAAGCAATATTGAGTTACGGAAAACATATTAAAAAAAAAAAAGTTACAAAGTTTCTTCAACAAAAGACAGGAACACACCTATATTTCCAAAGAGAAATACTAAATATGGACAATAGTACTTACCCACTTGAGTGGAAATAGAACGTACTCCACAAGGGGCCTGCTCGCTGCACACCCAAAGCCAATTAAATTAAATATTCAGTGGCAGAATGGGGTTGGCAAAAGATAGTTGAAAACACCATAGAATACAAGAAACTCATGCATACAATTATCATCAAGCAAAAACGTGTTTAAAATATTTTTTTGCACAGTTTATATTTTTTCCACACCACAGTTTCCGCCGATTTCAAAATCCATCAGAGCAATGATACATTTTATACCTTCTCAAACTAGTTGTAGATTCACAAGGTGCAGGCGTGTCATAACATACTTTGCATCTTCTAGAAAGACTACTCTCATGACATACTTGACATATCTTTTTTTCATTCGTGATTCAATAAAAAGAAATTAAAAATAACTCTTTCTATAACATTGGAGTTTGACCACATTTTCATGATTTATTATAAGGATTCAACCTCAAAAAAATAGTAATTGAACTAATAAGTAAACAAAGAAAAACCACAGAAATGGTACCTCAAGCTTAACACACTGTTCCACACACAATACAAAGTTTTAGAAAACACGCTGTTTGTCCAAGAATTAACAGGCTACATTTTCGTCGCCTGACAACTTGTCTTTTACAGCCCCTTATCGTAATTCTCAATAACTCAGAAAGAGGATACACTATACATTTTCTCAGGAAAAAAAAATATTTTTTTAAGTAAAGCGAAATTAATCTTTTAAATCTAGTTCTAAGCTAATTTTCAATTTCCACCATATACGATCAGTTGTAACCAGAACTTCCCATAACCAAGGGCAAATGTTTTCTCTTACCCACCAATAGAAGAATCCACTTCACTCCCTAAGGAACCTAAGAACACTCGAATATGAATCTTCCAAAATATCTCTCAGTACCTAACCAAATTTATTTCATTTCCATTAAATTACTGAGAAATTGAAAAAAAAAATCTCTTGACTGCATTGAAATCTCAACGAGCCAGGTTAAAACACCTGAGGCAAGTTTAGTAGTCAATTGAAACAAATACACCGTCGAAATGTTCACTTCCCAATTTTCCCCAACTTTCCCAGCAACCAAACAGATGGGACAACGAAATACGCCATTGAAAGAGCAAAACAACAAGCAAGAATCGAAGAATAAGAGAAGCAGTAAAACAAAACAAAAAAATCATACTCGGCGGGGGGGATGAGAGAGGATCGGATGGCGGCGATCGGTTTGGGGGTGGTCAGAGGGGAGAAGCAGCGCCTCCCCTCTCGTCGCACAGCTGCTGCCATCGCCATTGCTGGTAATCGGTGGTCGAGATTTCAGAAACCCTAAAGGGGCTGGAAAATTGCGGATCGGAAAATCTGATGTTTAGGGCTTTCGGCGTGATGTCTTTAAGATCAATTCGACACTTGACAGGGCAGAAGAAGATGCAGGCTTTGAGCATTTTGAGGTTATAAAAAAGAGTAATTTATGGGAGGGTCCCTAAACTTTTTAATTGGTGAGATTTGACCCTTATTCTTTTAATTTTGGCTGTTTGGAACCCATTTAGTTTCATTTTTCACATTTTTTGAGGATTAAAAAATAAAAATGCTATTAAAATTGCATTTGACACCGCATTGTTCGAAAAACAAAAATGAAAATGTTTTCTTTCTTTTTCCTAAATATTCAGAGGTTATTTTTTACAACAGAATTCAGAAAAAGTTTAAACTTAAATTACAGCTTTATTTAAATTTATATTTTTTTAAGTTTTAATTTTATTTAATTTTATTCAATTTTATTTAAATTACAACTTCAACTCAAATTATAACTCAAATTTAATTCAAAAATTACACTCAAATCACGCTCTAAAAAAACAAGCCCGACGTTTTGAAAACGATTACAAATCATTTTCATTTTCCCATTTTCCTTTTCTCCGTTAAACGCAGTCAAATTTTGCGAAACGCTGTGCTTCTCCATGACATTGGCGGCCCACTGGAAGAAGCGGTGGGCGAGCAGGCTGGCGTTTTGGAAGCAGGCGAGGACGTGCTCGACAATCTCTGGCATGAGCCTGACGCCGGTGTGGTCGAGGGCGGTGACTGGGGTGGAGGACATGATTTTGCAGATTGTTTGGATTGGGTCTAGGGTTTCGCACTTTGGTTTTGTAGAGCTGTGTCGTTTTAGCAGAGATGGGTTTCAACGGGTTGCTTCGAGGGTTCGATGGGTTGCTTTGCAACGATGATGATGCTGGGGTTATGCTTGGCTGAGTTAATGAGAAGTTCATCAATTTTGGGTTGTTTATCTTATGAGCTAATCTGCACTTGAGAAGTCTAATGAGAGTAGATTTTTTTTTTTTTTTTTTTTTTTTTTTTTTTTTTTTTTGGTTGGGTTTTTTTCAATTGCTTTGTTGAATTGTCGTATGATGTGTCTGCCCCTTAAAATGTTAAAGGAGGAGAGTTTTTTTTTTTTTTTTTTTTTTTTTTTTTTTTTTTTTTTGCGTTCGGGTTATTTTGGGTTCGTGAGAAGTTCATCAATTTGGGCTGAAGCCTTGAACAGTTGAAGTGACGGAAAGGAAACCTTAAATAATATTTAAAATATTTATTACATGTGTTTTAAAAATGCAAGCATTTGCATGTCTTATGAATGTAGTTTCAAGCCAAAGATATGACTATGATTTCTCTGTGCTAGTTTATTAGAAAAATGTTTTAGAGACTTTATTTATTTTTGTTTTATATCTTTCCTCCTATGATTTTAAAGAAAACAGTTAGACAAGAGACTTGGTTGTGAATATATCTAAAAATGTGTGTCGTGTGTTTATATGATTAAATGTGTGATTTATATATACAACAGTAATATAAGTTAAGATTATTCATCAACTAATCATTTACTAAGTTATTTTATTTTAAATTATTTATTATTTATTTATAATGTAATTTAAATTATTATATTAATTATTAGTGTTTTTATTTAGGATTCAATCATTATTTATTTAATATATTATTATATGTTTTCAAAAATTAAACTATTAAACACATTTTTAATTTTTTTTTAAAATTGAAATTAATCTTTAAATAAAATTACCAAAATGATTCTAAAATGAAATGAAAATGTTTTCATTTTTATTTTCATATAAAAAATAAAATTATTTTAGAATGAATTTTAAATGCACTTTTAGTATTACAGATCGTTATACATTAATGCACCAATCTTCCACATACTTATTGCTTTATTCGTGAAAATTAAGTGCAAATTTGTAATTGACTTGATTTTGATTCAGCCATTTCAGCGATATAAACACCTTCTAAACTTGTTGCTACAAATAATTTACAATTTGTTCGCAATATTTCTTAAAAATCCGCTGATTTTAGAGGTGTTACATACGTCTCTTACAGCTACCACATACCTCTAACATATATATATACCCTTAATTTATAATAAATAACTATCAGAAACTGACTCATTGCCTATAGTCGTGCCACTTGGTAACCTTTGCCTGAAAACCTCATCTTCCTTGCCTCTCCGATCAACCATCTGGCCGCCAAAAGCTATGGGTTGCAGTGTATTAATTGTGGCTACACCCTACGCGTTCTTTTGCTCCAGCCGGATCATTGTTGTTCGTTCATCTTCATCCGACGGCTCTAATTCACTTGTTGGATCAATCAGAAAAACAGCGCCTGTCGGATTAATGGCTAAACCTTAAGGGTGACAATTGCATAGAAATGTGTAGGCGTTTGATTCGTAAATTTAGAATTATAATTTAAAATTATTTTTAATTTATGTATATTTTTTATGAAAAAAAAATATTATGGCGAATCATGAATTATGATTCAAATTATTGTATGAATCTATTAACTAAATGCACGTGTTTGGCACAATTAAAGATAAAAAACATAAATGAAAATGATTTTTTAGTTTAGTGTAAAATGAGAGAGAAATGAAAAATGACTAAAAGTCATTTTTCATTTTTTGCTTCTGATTTCTCCTCTCTCGAGTAGAGAGAGAAAGAAAGAGACATTAATGGATTTTTTTATATTAAAAATAATTTCTTAAGAAAACTACCAAACGCATTTTTAAAAATAATTTTTATCCGAGAATGAAAACGTTTTCATTTCTATTTTCATACAAAAAATAAAATCATTTTAGAATGAGTTTTAAACGCATCCTTTATGTCACTCTCTTTGCATTTACTCTTTAACACGTGAATTCTATTAATATATTATTATTTAAATAAAAAAATATGATAACAAAGTTAACGTGTTAAATAGTGAGTATAAAAAATGACAAAAAAAAGTGATCCTAACATATCTCTCGTGTGAATAGAGGTGTAAATTCGAGCGATAAATTTGGATACCCTAACTTGGGTCTAGTGGCTCGAAATTGTAAAATCGAACAAGAGCTGGCCTAGCTCATAAAAAAGTGGGTCGGGCCAGGCCACTTGAATACAAGCGTGGTCCAACACGGTTTGAAAGCCCTCATGGTTTGTTTGGCCATCTTTATAAGGAAAAAAAATAAAAAAATAAAAAAAAACCCTAGTTTGGTTAGGTTTTTAAGCAGGCCAAGTGTAAATCGTGTTTGGTTAGTGGATTTGTGCCATGATTTGAATCATAGTTCGTGATTCGTTATAGTATTTTCTCTCACAAAAAACACACGTAAATCAAAAATAATTATGAATTATGATTCTGAATCCATGAACCAAATGTCCACTAAAAAATCAAGCATCAAGCCAACTTGTATAGTCTAGTCCAAATTAACTCGAATGAGTTAAATTAATAGATTTTAAAAAAATTTATTAAAAATATATTCAAAAATAAATAATATTTTTTTGATAAATTTATTTTGAATAAAATGAAAGATATAAAATTTATGGCCTAGTAAAATATAGAAATAGATTAAGAAAATTAATGCTTAAATCATAAACATTTTCTCTAAAACGGATGACAAAGTGTCGAGGATCAATTCGAAATTGAAAAACAAAAATTTAAGGGCCTGTTTGTTTGCGTTTTCATTTTCGTTTTTCACGGTTTTCAAAGCAAAAAAATGAAAACGGGTGTTAAAAACGTGTTTGGTGCAATTTTTTTAAAAAAACAAAACCAAAAATGTTTTTGTCTTTTTGTGGAAATCAGAAAACGAAAAAAAGGTGTTTTCATTTTCTCGTTTTCGTTTTCTGTTTTCTGAAAAACG